AAATCCTAGTATCTATATTAGCTTAGTTATTTATAATATTTATAATATTACTTAGTTAAATTCCGTATTATTAAAAAGTACTTTACTACTTTTTAGGTATATTTATATTAGTTACGATAGCTATAGCGTCGAGCTAGCTAAAGAGGGCGCCTAGTTTAAGAGGGGTAGACTTATTAATAAGCATTTTTAAGTTCTTATCGAGGTAGTATTTTAACTAACTAACCTCTTAACTAGTTATTTAACTAACTATTTAAATAGTAGTTTATATATTAATAAGTTTATTTAGTAAATTTATTTAGTAAATTTATTTAGTAAATTTATTTAGTAAATTTATTTAGTAAATTTATTTAATAAATTTGTTTAGTAAATTTATTTAGTTTAAATAGAGAGTAACTTTAGGTAATATTAAAAGCGATAAGAATAAAAAAAATCTTTATGAGCTCTAAAAAGTAATAAATATTAGCCTATTTAGCCCTTTTTTTAAAAAACCTCTATGTTATTATTAAAGTTTAAAACCTTTATAGTTAAAAAAGACCGCCTCTAACTATTATAGCTAACTATAATAACCGATTATTATAGCTAATTATTATAACTAACTTCTATTATTAACCTTTTTAACTAGCGCCGCTATAAAGTAGCTTACTTATCCTACATTAAATAGTAATTTTTATATTAAAATTACTATATTACGTTAAGTACGTACTTAGGATATATTGCGCATATTATATAGTCAAAAAGTATACTATATTATATAATTTCCCTTAAAAGCGTAATCCCGTTAAGGTCGATTTTTTATACCTATAAAGCCGGAAAAAAAACCATTATATTTAACTTTTTACTTATTAAACCCCTTATTTAGCTAAGTTTTTACTAGCTTATTAATTCAATTAATAAGCTCTTTAAGGATTTTTATTTATAATTTACCCTTTATTATTTTAACTATAAATATAAAAAGAATTATTTATAGCTTAAATAAGAGCTTTAGATTCTTATTATAAATCTTAAAGTAACTTCGGATTATATTAATAATACTAAAAAAATCGTTCTAATTAAGATTACGTACCGCTTTATAATAATAATTAAAAACTTTATTTATAAGTACGATATTAATTACTAAGTAATACTAATATTCCTAAATTTTAACTTTTTTATAATAATTTTAAAATATTATTAGGGTTTTTTATAAGACCTCGTACTTCCTTTTAAAATATAATTTTTTTTTAAAAAGATCTTTTTAAAATTTATAAATTACTTCGTATTTATTACTATATTTTTAATATTTATATATAATCCCTACGTTATTACGTATTATTAATAACTTTATATTATTTATTTCTTTTTTTATTTATTAATTAGTATTAAATTTCGTATTAATAATAGTAACGAGCTATAAATTAAAATAAGTAAAATTATTAATTATCGTACTTTTAGTACTATATTTTACTTTTATATATCTTTTTATAACAATAAATTACTATTAATAATTATAAAAAAGAAATTTAGGTCGTTTACTTTTTTTTAAATTTATTAAAGCGATTATATACTTTATTAACTTATACTTAGTTTTATAATATAAATTCCTTTTTTATAATCGTTATTATTAAAATTTTATACGGTTTTTATAATTATAATTACGTTAATAATACTCTTCGTTTATAAAAGAATCTATTAACTACTTTTATAATTCTTAAGCTTATATTTATAAACTATTTATCTAGTTAATAACTAAGGTTATTTATAATTTTATAAAATAGGGGTTACCCTTATAGCCCCTTTTTTTTATAAACCTTAATTAAATAAATTAATACTATATTAATTTACTTATTATTAAGCTAATTTACGATCTTATATATTTACGTCCTTTAATAATTTAAATTAATATTTACTTATTTATAAGGGATTAGGATTCTATTTAAAATTAGGTTTTTTTTTGTTTTTTTTTTTTACTTTAATTTACTAAGGGTCGTATTTTAACTTATATTTATATTAATAATTATTAATATATTTAATTTTAATAAGGATATATTTAATTTACGTACTAGCCGTAGTAAATTTATATTTTTATTACTTAACGAATTTATTAAAGTTTAAGTAATTCTTATTTTCTTTTACTATTTTATTATTACTCTCGTTTTTATTATTTTTAATAATTATTATTACTTTTTTAAATTACTAACTATTATACTTATTAAGATCTTATTTTTTATTTAATATAAACAAATAGGTTTTAATAGTTCTTTTTTTTAATAATAATAATAGACGTTTATATTATTATAAAAAAACGAAGTAATTAGTCTCGGGATCTTTATTAGTTACTAATTTTTATTATTTTATATATTTTTAATTTTTAACTTTTTAAGCCTTATATTTTATATAATTTTTAAATTACTTCTTTTTTTAACTTACCTTTTTTAGGGTAGTATTTTAAAAAAATAATTAAAAATAAATACTAAGTAATTCGTAAAAGAGCTAAATAAGTAGTTAGGAGCTAGATAGGTTATTAAATATAGTTAGTAAAATTAAGCCCTCTTTTTTATAGAATCGAAAACTTAAAGGACTTATTAAAAATACTTACTTCGTTATTTATATTAAGTAGAGTTAATTATTTTAAAGATCTTTTTTTTTATAACTTTTTAGTATCCTATTTTATATTTTTTAAGTAATTTGTTTTATAGCTTAATTATTATTTAGTAATTATTACTTATTAATAATCTTTTTTATTATTTAGTTAATTTTTGAAAATTAATAATCTCGTATTAAGAGCTAGTATAAAAAGGAATCTTTTTAATAACCCTCTAAAGGATTCTTTTTTTTCCCCTTTAAATCCTCGTTTTTCTAGCCTTTTTTTAAGTTAATAATAATTATAATAAGAAGTTATAGGACTATTTTAAAATAGCTATTTTTTTTAAATTAATTTTTAAAATTTATAAGATTTTTAACTTAATATTATTAAGATTTCTAAATCCCCTCTTTTCTTATTAAACCGTTTTTTATATTATATTTTTAAATAATATTTAGGGAGTAGTTAAAGGGACTATAAAAAGATTATTTAGATTATAAATTTATAATTATATTTATAAAATTCTTATAATAATAGATCTTTTTATATACTATAGATCTTTTAATTTTACAACTCTTATAAAATTATTTTTATTATTAAATAAGAATATTTACGTTTAGAGTTCCTTTTTTTTAATTACGTAGTGCTTTTTTATATTATATTATTAAGCTCGTTTATTATACTAATTAATTAAGTAAGTAGTTATTATATAGGTATTTCTTTTTACTAATTTAACTAATTAATTTCTAATTATGGGTTAGTTATAAAAAAGTTACTTAATAAAAAAGCTATTTAAAGTAATAGTAAAAAACTAGTTATTTAAATAGTTTTATTAATTAATATAGTTTAATATAATAAACGTTAACTTTTTATAAGTAATAAAAGGCTACGATTATTTAATTCCGTATAGTATTTAATAATCGTTTTTTTTTATTTATTTTTATAAGGTTAATTAGTATAAATCTCTTATTTTATATAGTATTAAGAAGTCGTTTTTTTTATATAATAAAATACTTTACTAATTTATAATAATAAAATTTAATTACTAATTAATATTAGTATTTTTATTATAAAGTAATTAGTTCGAACTATAAGTTAATAAAGAGATTAATTAAATTATATAAATTTTTATATAAGTATAAAAAGGAGGTTCTAATTATAAATTAGGCTAGTTATAATAATTATAAATAAGGCCCCTAATTAGCCCCTACGTAGTTAGCCGTATGCCGCGGTCGAATTAGACTTCTAATCTAATAGTCATTACTGTATTGCTGTGGAATATCTAAGGAAGATGTACTTCGGTCCGACTGCGACTGTATATCTCCTTGTATTTAAACCACTTGCCTAATTAGTAATTTGACCTTGCAGTCTTACTTGAGAGAGCTATGCCCTCGTCTGAACCAAGAGGTTCACTGGCCGAGTGCCGTTCGCTGTCATTTAGAAGTTCGTAGAAACGAATCAAAGAGAGACCGACGCGGAAATTACAGTCAAACTCTATCCGTAAAATACCTGAGCAGGACTAGAAACTCTACCAAAGATTTTCAATTTCATCCAATGGGGTGTTAAACAGATCCTGCTATGAGGTATCTGCTTGGCTCTCGTCATAACTCGCCAGTGGTACAACAGGTCTTGATGACAGACTAGAAAGACATTCTAAAGCCTTAAGCCCATACGTGATCAGCCAATTCAGACCGGGTCCATCCCGACTTCTTCCCATTCTCATTGGCGGCTACAGAAGAAGTCCAGCTAGGGGTAAGCGGCGCACTGCCGTTCCTGAGGAGATATGCTTAACCCAGTCTCAGCAACTGACAGGGGTGTAACCGGAACTTTTTTGCAGGCAGGTAATTTTAACTTCAGCCTTACAAAACTACTTGATAGCAGTGGGAAGCCAAGTAGGAGGCTTTGCTGAAATCAGGGCACCGGTATCAACGCCTCGGCTGATCAGCATGCATGCATACGCGGCACGTATGTACGGTCATCATCGCCTATCTGCAGCCGGACCAGGCCGCTCTTGCATGATGACTGTTCTGCCGCACTTGCAAGATATGCCGGGCTGAGACTCCCGCTATAGGGCGCTGTGATGACGGTACTCATGGGGATAGCGAACAGAGATGTCGATGTAGACGTATCATCATATCCTGTATGCATCATCCCGAAGTGACGGACTCTATAGAAACAAGGAGATATAAGAAATGACTTCTTGTTCTTCCTCCTCGACTGCTCTATCGAAGAAAAGAGCAGCAAAATATCTTGCTCTGACTCCAGTAGTCGTTCTCATCAGAGCTTCTCTCTGCTATCGCATACAGTTCAGAGACATCGTCTTCCCCCCGAGCACCTCAGTTGAACCGCAAATATGGCACTCAACATAACAAACGCAACAATGCCAACAATGCGTGCTGTAGCCTGATTCGGCCAACCCTATAACGTCTCCGTGATCGACATGCCCGTCCCCACCATCACCAACCAGACAGCCGTCGTCGTCCGCATCAACTCCTCCGCCATCTGCGGCTCCGACCTACACATGTACCACGGCTTCGGCGGCACGCCCAATGTGCCCTACGGGTTCGGCCACGAGGCTGTCGGCTACGTCTCCAGCGTCGGGGACGCCATCTCGAGTCTTGAGGTTGGCGACTATGTCATCATCCCAGACAACGCCGACGACGGGCACTGCGGTCCTTCGCATCCCCTGTCCTTCGGCGTTGGGAGCGCATCCTATGGCGGACTGCAAGGTATGTTCTCTCTCAGAAGATACCCGCCTCCCTTCCCCTATTTTTATATGATTAGTCCGTTCAGAGACCGCACGGATAATCGTCTTCAGGAGTAAGAGACAACCCAAGTTGACCCAATCTTCCGTCCTGTACCAGCCGAGTACGCCAGAGTGCCCCACGCCGACACATCCCCCATCCCGATCCCACTAACCTCAACAAACACCACATCCGAACTTGACTACCTCATGATCACAGATGTCTTCACAACAGGCTGGCACGTCATCTCCTACTCAGGCTTCCAACCCGGCGACACAGTCGCCATCTTCGGCGCCGGGCCCGTCGGCCTCCTAGCCGCCTACTCCGCCAAACTCCGCGGCGCCTCCAGGATGTACGTCGTCGACCGCATCGCCAGCTGCCTCGAGCAAGCCGAATCGTTCGGAGCCATCCCCATCGACTTCACCCAACAAGACCCCGTGGAAGCGATACTCAGCCGTGAGCCCGCTGGCGTGACGCGCAGCCTCGACTGCGTGGGCCTCGAATCCGTCAACGCTACGGGAGATCCGCACAACGGCATCGTGCTGGAGAACATGGTTGCCGTGACTTCCGTTTGCGGAGGCATGGGTATCGGTGGTGTGTACAACGGCGGCGGAAACAGCACCGAGGGAGCGCCCAATGCCGGGACCCTACCCGCGGAGATTCCTATCCCCATGGCATCGCTATGGAGGAAGGGCTTGTCCGTCGGAAGGGGTATCGTCTTGCCTTTGCTGAGGGCACCTCCTTTGCTGGACTTGATCGCATCTGGTGTCGCTAAGCCGAGCTTTGTGGTGACGGCTGAAATCGGCATTGAGGATGCGCCGGAGAATTACCGTCGTTACAGTGACCACTTGGAGAACAAAGTCGTCATCCGGTTCCCTTAGATACATCGCACGTAGAGCACAAGACGAGTGAAGACGAATGATGGTAAAGAGTGGATTTGGTCTGGAAGACCACTATACTAAGGATAATAGCTCGAGATAATGACAATAAGCAGCGCGATGGCAGTCCAACATAAGGAACCCAAGCACCCAGTTCATCGTAAATGTACAACCTCTTCCTACACATTCACAACACTATCAGAAGTATAACAATAACAAGCACAAAAGAAAATAGATGTGGCCGCTAGACATGGCGGGAAAGGAATGGTGGGTAAAGAGTGAGATTCGATGGTTTCGAAGTTGGCTGTGCTGTGGCAAAGTGCCACAGCTCTCAATGACCATGATGACGAGATGAGAACGTATAAGTGCCAAGAAAACATAGCATCCGATGAAAACAAGGTGTTCCACTTGTTCTCACATGTAACTTCGCCGAGTCCCAGAAGCGTCTTCAACGCTGCCGGTACCATAGGCTGAGTCGGGATATGTAAAGCACTGGTCGTCTGAGATCGGAAAGTCCGAGGGAACATTGAGCGAGTCAAAGCTCAGGATGTTGGAGATGTCAATATCGGGAACACCAAAATCGAAATCTAGAGTGCTCTCGAAGGCACCGGTACCGGCGCCGGTATCTTCATCGATACCAACAGTCAAGTTGGCATCGGGTGACACCTGCGGCGACACCGCCCGAGATCCTCGCGCAGTTTCGGGATCATCCAGGTCCGCCACCTGCGCAGGTGAGGGTATGTGCTCAAAGATCTGGGCGCACCTAGCCGAGCTGTTCCGGATCCAGACCGAGAGGCTGTGCATGAGACCGTCTCCATATCTCTCAAATGAACGATTGAGATCTTTTTCGAGCTCGCGCTGGATCATGTGGGGCAATTCACGCCGCAAGTACTTAAGAAACTCCACATCTTTCGAGTTGGAGTCGCCTGCATTCGTCTTGTCCGGGTTGGCGTCATACCCTGATACCAAGGTCAATTACTGGGGCTCTTTTCTCATCTCAGGTTTCTATCCTAATTGGAGGTTCAAACTTACAAGGACTTGGAGGGCTTCCAATGTCTTGCGTCCCCGGAAACAAGGTGTAATATACTTCGTACCACTTGCTGACATCGTCTTGCTTGTCGGCGTCGTGCTTACCGGGTTGCCTACGCACTCTGAGGTGCTTCTCCGTCTCTTGATCCATCCCCGCACCTGGGTCCAGCTTGCGCTTCTTCTTGTCAAGTACAGGACAAGGCACGTCTGCTCTTTGGTGCTCGTGAAGTGAGTTTTCGCTCTTGAAGGCCTCAAAACACCTGTTGCAGGCGTAGATGCGATGCTTGCGATAGAGGTGCTCCCTTTCACTGTGTTAGTGAAAGTGTTTAATGGCTGACTGGATAAAACACTCACTTAACCCGGTGAATCTCGTGCCAACCAGGACCAACGCAGGTTCGATGGCTCTTGTATCTTACGGGGTCGTTCTTGTAGTAAGGGCATGCAAACTTTTGACGGTCATCATCCTCGTCAGTCTTCGTGCGCTTCTTATTAGGCTTCTGCTCGTTGTTCTCGTCGCTTCCGGATCCTTCGTCGTCTTGATCACGCCCCTTGAGTTGCCGCTTCTGACCAGCTACAGGACGCGCTTCCGCAGCCCTTCTCTTATTGACGCCTCCTGATCTGGAAGCCTTCGAGCCGCGCTGACAGTCCCCGTCTTGATCTTGAGCATCCCCAAGGTAATAGACGTTGTCGTCAAGCCATTCGCAGACTCTCGCCATGAATATCTTGATGAACGCTTGCTTGCGGTAAGCCAGATAGTTATCGATGACGGCTGGTGTGGGACTCGTCCGATTTCGACCGGTTCCCGCGTTGGTAGTGCGAGCAGGCCGATCTGCGAGTTCGGATCTGCGAGATGAAGGGTTTGGTGGAGGTGATGATCTACCAGAGGTGTCAACATGCTGGAAAGTTCAACGAATTAGGTGGGCTACCTCTGAGAGGCGCTCTGGGCCTCACTTCCTCCCCCACTGGTTTCAGTTGGGGAAGAGAGTCTGTTGCTGTGTGTTCCCTGACTGTGTGAGTGACTGGTCGTCAAATCAGCGGAATCGAGGAGGTAGGACTCACTGATACTTGTCTCACTACAAGGTCTGAGTTGGCTCGAGTGCTTGAGGACTTGGGTGGTTTGGAGGAAGGGGTTTCGTGTTTCTTAGGCATGTCCGGTGAGAAGTTGCCCGGCCGGCTATTGTGGAAAGCCTTGAACCGGGAAAGCAAGCAGGTGAAATCGACGAAGGACTTCTTCTTCGATGATCTGCGGTGGTATCGATGAAAAGAGTTCAGATAGGAAGGTCTAGTATAGGGGGTTGGTCTTGAGACGGCGAGCATTTCCTCGTACGGGTAAGAGAGTGCACGCTAACACTGGGGTTGGAACATCCTGCTCTTTTCTCGAAGTCGAAATTGTGCTGCCTGGAATAATCAGGTGAATTGGAAAGTGAGGAATAGAGTGCTCAGTTGCGAATTGGCGTTGTTCGATGATGTTCAAGCGAAAACAACACCAGGCTTCAAGGCAACTCGGTCTCGTTATATCTCCCTCAGAAACCGCTGCTTACACGACCCCACTCCTTGACCCCACGCTCACAATCTTGCGCGCATTTGCGAACAACATCTTTGAGAGTAGTCGAAGAGGGGGCGCGTGTCTCAAGAGATGCCGCCTCACTCTGCAGAGTCCAATGGCAAATGCAGAGCGGAGGTGGTGGCTTGATAAGCCCATTGGACGCCCCAGAAAACCATGAGAGACGCAAGATCTCATCATCTGGGGTGGAACTGGGGAGCTGTCCGTCATTCTATCCCATACGGTGGAGTACGCAGTGTCGCGCATGCGTGTCCGCATAGAATCTCGCCGATGGTTCGCACACGATTGAGACTACTCAATTGCGCGCGAAAGAGGTCTTCACTCGAAGCCGTGTAAGATAACCATTATCAATGCGACGCCTAGGCCGTCAAGGATGGCTCCTTCAGTATAGATTCGCTGTTGGTTCAGTGTCCAATCAACCCAGTTGCCTTCCTACGCACGAGAGAAGCAGCTATTAACGGCATGAACGAGAAGCACCGTAAGTACTCACAATCACCCAGTCAATCTCCTCAATTGACCCGATGGTGAACAGTTCAAAACATCGGAATCGTTGACGGTACTCGATCGGGCAAAGTCACCCAAGACGACATCAGTCGGCATTGGCCGATCGTTGCAACTGCCTCCGCGTCCCCTTAACTCGCTCGCCCGACCACAAACATTTCCGGTGAAAGGTATGGTCGAAATCATGCCACGTCAGGCAAATGAGGGGTTCAATTGCGGCAACGTAGGAGCCAACGATCGTCGGAGACATACGGACTGCAGTCGAAGGGGCTAACTGCGTTGCGAACCGTCGATGGAGCGAACGGACGGCGTCAGGTCGGCGAGGTACCTCGTCGGCAGGGAACCGGACATGATGAACACGTGAGAGGCGGTGGCTAGCGGCAGCGACTCGGCAGCTGAAGAGAGCGATAAGATGCAGCCGGTGGCCGCATTGTTGCAGCAACTCAAGCAGGCTGAGCAGAGGAGCCGGTAGCGAGGAACATGGGCTCGTTGCCTGTTCTGCCGATAACGGGGAGACTTTCCGGGGCTTCGGTTCGGTATTCGTATTTTGCCTTTGAACAAATTCAAATGCCTCGAGGAGTTGTTTTTGGAATCAAAAGTGATGGAAACCCGGGATGATGGTTGTAGAGAGGATGGATGGGAGTTGAGACGGATAAGAAAAGAGATGATGTTCGGGACGGGAGTCGTACAAGAAGTCCAATTAGAGTTTGGAGCGTGCACAGCCAGCTTTTCGGGCCTTTTGTCCTCAGGAATCAGGGCATGTACGTACCCCTTCAGTGGTTGCTCCCCCTAACCATCGCCCCTGCCCGCTTCCTTTCCAGCGGGGTTCACTAACTCGTCATATCCCAGGGCGCCCTGCAGGACGGAATTGAAATATCACTCTTGGCGACGGGTTATCGGGATCTTGAAGATCGCTTGAGGAATCTGAAACCAGATCAGATTTACGAGAGCCAACTTACAGTTTGATGAGTATATGAAGACTGCTTATGGTTGCAAAATCATCATTGTATCGCCAATGCTTCACGCATGAGGGTGAGATTTCTCAGGAATCCGAAAGCGGCTTTGTGAGGTCAATGGGACGCGCAACATGGTTCAGTAAGAGTCATTTGATGCGATACATTAGAGAAGAAAATACTTTTGGGTATATTAAAAATGGTATCTTGTAAATGGTGGGAAATTGTGGCTTCATATGAGTTCATTACTTTTCGTGCTTCCTGTAGAGAGCGTCTTTCAGAGTCCTCAAACAACGGGGACTCCTACTTGCGCGCAGAAGCCGTCATAAGCGTCGCCCTGAGCCAAATCGGCACCTGTCTGGTTTTGGAATGAAATTCGGTTCAGAGTGTTACCGTCGGCCTGGTAGTTCGGCCACGTGCCGTGGCAGTTGTAGTTGAGGAGACCAGACACTGGGTCCTTTGCGAAGGCTGCCCACGCACCACGCATGTACTTGCCCACGGCAACCTCCTGCGCTGTGCTGTTGATTGCCGCCTGGGGCACGGTGTCAAAGAGAACAGGGAGCTAATTAAGCGATGTCAGCTAATATGTCTCAAGCCAAGAGTATTGACGGAAAAAAAAAGTATGACGAACCTCAGATGCGTGCCATGCTCCACTGGGCGGCGTCGTTGTAAGAGCAAGATTAGGGAAGTCGCCGAAATAACGGTATCGCCATGTCGGATGGCCCGCGGAGACGGCCCGCGCGGCTCTTCTGGCAGCGGGACAACTGAAAGCGACAAGGTTGAAACCGAACCAATATGTCTCATTGAGGTCAGGTGCTCCGATCTTGAAGAGCCCAGCCTCGTTTTCAGTGTTGCCGATGAGATACCCTGCGTTGGCCGAGTCGCGGATGCTGTAGTCGGCAAAAATAAGACGATCGTCTACCACAGGAGCAAAAGAGAGACCTCCAGCGGAAGCG